TGTCTGTAGTTCTGGATGTAGCTGGTGACCAGCATAAGTTAAAAATAAATCTCATTATTTTGCTCTAGATAGAAGGCTTGCTAGATCTCAGTTGACAAATAGAGTTTTAAAATAAGCTGTGGGAAATGCCTAGCTGTGACTCGTATGAAAGATGTACTCCTTACTGCAGCGCACAATGCTGCTTTGCTTCTGTGTGTCTGGGACGTGTTAAGACAGAAGCACATTTTAGTTGTTCTGTGGTTCAAATATTCGAGGGGTGCGTGAGAAACAAACCTTGCAAGTCCAGATCCAGCCTTCCTTCCCCCTTTACTCCAACCTACTCCAGTCCTTCCCTAATAGTCATCATTCTCAAACTGATGTGGTCATTTTCTTTCTCAGATCTGATAGATTTTTACCTCTCGCATAATTGTTTGTCTCAAGACAGTTTCTCCAAGCAGAGAGCCACTTTGTTCCACCTCCCTCTGACAAAATCCTTCACTTCTCAAAACATCTAGAGGCAGTTTCCCCATCAGCTTGTTCCTCCCCATAAAAGGTTGCTGGAGAGCAGTTGCAGTGTAGCCGTTCTCCATTCTCTTGTCATTTGAAACAGGACTTTTTTTATCTTGCATATAAAAAATTAGGCTAGAATTGCTTGAGCAGAAAAAGATTCCTAACAGCACCATGTTAAATCTGGTTTTCTATTCAGTAAGATAAATACAGACCATATTGCATGTTAACAGTGTTTAATACTGATTCTTCATGGGTCTGGGGTTTATCTATTAAGATGGCATTGTACCATGAAACATCCTTGTCAATAATTGAAGTAAATCAAGTTTAAGTAGTGGATTTAGTTTGGTTTTAGATTGTCTAAGCAGGGGAGTACACGTTTTCAGTCCCAGGAAGAATGATATATTATAAGCTTTAAAGGACTCATCAACTCAAGGTTAGGTAGGAAACTGTTTATCATGTTTTACCAGGAACAGAAAGATTACATGGGAGATAGCGAAACTGAGTGTGTTATGTGGTTTCAGCATAAAAAGAGAGGGAAACACTAGTCAGTCATGATTTAGGAGTGAACTGCTATGGAATAAATTTTCCAGCTGTTGCAGCTGGCATTGCATCTAAATCTGGGATCAAGCTTATTTAACCCTAATGATCCTGGCTAGTACCCAACCCTGAGGAGCAGAACTTGGGAGTGTTGGGTGATGAGAAGCTCCCCATGACCTGGCTTCAGTGCGTGCTTGAGCCCAGAAGCCAACCATGTCCTGGGCTGCATCCCCAGCAGCGTGACCAGCAGGACAAGGGGTGTGCTGAGGCCCTGGCACAGGGTGCCCAGAGAAGCTGTGGCTGCCCCATCCCTGGTGGTGTTCAAGGCCAGGCTGGACGAGGCTTGGAGCAGCCTGGTCTGGTGGAAGGTGTCCCTGCCTGTGGCAGGGTTGGAACTGGGTGAGCTTTAAGGTCCCTTCCAACCCAGTCAGTCTGTGATTCTATGATAATAAATCAGCTCTTCCTGGGGTGTGGCAGAACAGTCAGATCACAGCTTCCTTTTCTCCTGCTCTCAGCTCTGAGCCCATTCCCTCCAGCACACCAAATGTAGTGCAGGTCAGAAACACCAGCTTCTGTCATGTTGCAAGAGATATCCCTGCTTGACACAAGGGGTTAATGTCACCTTGCTTCAGTGTGTCTTCAGTAAGGGAAAAACTGTTTTTTGACAGTCTGAATATGACACTGGATGGCATGCTAAAAAGATACTACTATCTCAGCAAAAAATAGTTTGGGAAGTTTGAAGTCTGTTAGGTTGGTATTTAATTTTTGCTATTAAGCAGTGGAAGAAGGGGCTAACTGAAAAAGGGGAAGGAAAGTATTACTCAAACATTCTTCCCTTGGCTTCTGAGAAAAAATGTCCTTATCTTTTCATGAAGTGTATCCGGCAGCAGTGATTTGGCATCACCATACTGAAAACGTATGGGTGCCTCCTCATTCATTAACACTTGGAAAATTCTTTATGAGAACTATAACTTGGAGCACTGTGGGAAATAAATTAGACCTAAATTGTTACATCCTCTAGATTTTAATTTTATGATAATATGCTCTTAGCAATTTGGGGAAGATTATGGGGTCACCTCTCACATTCTCTAGATGGATCTTTTTGTAGGGAGAAGGTTACTCGATTCTCCTACGTGGTGTTTGGAACCTCAGGCTAACAGCCCCAGTTTTGTGAAGGACCACAGCAAACCAAGCAGAGACTTTGTACTGGTAATTTGTAGCATCTACAAAATTGAAGTCTGATTCACCACTTACTCATGTCAGGGCTTCTCATCAGTTGCAATAAACCAGGGCGAGCATTTCTTTCATCAAAGATGAATTTTCCTGTTGTTTTGTTTGGTTTGGTGGGTTGTTTTTTTTTTCTTTTATTATTTCCTTAAACAAAGAACATGATGTTTGGGAGGTTAAAAAAAGGCATCCTGTTAATTTTGTCCTTTAGATTGTCTGTCAGAATGAACTCAGTAAGTGCTTGGGAACTTGTCGATGCCTCTAGCTCCAGCATGCTATTTCCTTAAAATATTCATATCTGTAAGATACCTTGTTACAGGCCAACAATATGCAGAGCAATTCACGAGTCTCACCTGCTCCTTAGTCTCAAGAGGTCTTAGCAGCCGTCCTTTTCTCAGCAAAAGCCCAGGCTGCTCAGGTGTACTGCAGCAGTGAAATCAGCTTGTTCTATATGGCTGGTACAGGGTTAAACTGAAGAGGTGCAGCAGATGCAAATGAAAACAGCCTCTTTCCATTACTAACCTGGGAAATTACTCTTTTCCAGTGGGCAACCAGTGTACAGTGAATAAGGAGGAATGTGATGAGCAGGAAGAAACATAATCTTTTCTTTCATCTTGATTCCCCTTTGGATAGTGCAAAAGCTACTGAGGTGATTTGTTGCTCGCGATCCACTCCCATGTTTTTCAGAATGATTTAAAGCAGCAAAGTGGGGGTTGAATATAAATGTGCTCCTACTATCATCTTGAGACAGAACCTTCCTCAGATGTAAGCAGGCTTTTTTCACATCTTAGCCATCATCTTCCTTAAGACAGCAAGCAACTCAATGCCTTGTAAAAGTTTTAATAGATCAGAAACCTGCACTAAGGTGCAAGCTCTGCTGGGCCACTGGAGAAACAATGATATTAATAGAATAAAACCCCTCCACCTCCTTCCTAATGAGGTGACTTCAGTAAGACTTGTAATCCTTATCTGGGCAATCAGTTTTAGGCATGTAAATATTTTCCCAGGGGTATAAGCCCCTTGCATGCCTGTGCATGACAGTCAGGGACTCACTGGGTCAGGGCCTGGGTGGTTGAGGTGTTCGCCACAGAGGCTTGGGAGAGAAGTTAAGGATGAGACTTGCAGGCAGCATGCCAGCTCTTTCCAACCCTGAAGTATCTCTTTTTCCCAGGAGGGGTAGAATCAGCCAATATCCCCAGGTGGGAACAAGCCTCATGGCTCTCCATGCACAGGGGTATAAACTGCAGTGCTCCTCCGTGTGATGGAAGGAACTGGTGAGCAACACGTGAACTCCGAGACTGGGCTGAATATTTCTATTTTTCCTTTATTAAAAAAGGCCACTGAAGTAATAGGATCACAGAATCCCAGGTTGGAAGTTGCCTCAGGGATCATGTGGTCCAACCTTTCTAGGCAAAGCACAACCTAGACAAGATGTCCCAGCATCCTATCCAGCCAAATCTTTAGTGTCTGACGTTGGGGAATCACCGCTTGACTGAAAAGGTTATTGCAGTAGTTGATTGTTCTCATTGTGAAAAATTTTCCTCTTGCATCCAGTCAGATTCTCCCCAGGCATAACTTGTACCCATCATCCCTGTTTTTTTCCATGTGACTCCTTGTAAAAAGGGTGTCTCTGTCTTCTTTGTAGCCACCCTTTACATACAGGAACATGGTGATAAGGTCTCCCCTGGGCCTTCTTTTCTTAAGGCTGAACAAGCTCAGCTCTCTCAACCTTTCCTCACGCATAGTCCATAATAAGATTCTCACAGACTTCAGTGGGTCTTGCAGGGAGCCCATACTTTCCTCCTTTACCTTTTTTTAAATCCTGTAATATTTATTCCAAAGAGGTTCAACCAAAGTACCAAAGTTTAATAGCAACATTTGGTTTCATGTGGGCATTTCTACCTGGAGCTCAGTAAAACTGATTACAACTTGCAGCAAGAAAACAGAAAAAAAAGGACTTTCTGACTTCCTTATGTATCAGTGCTTTAAAAAACCCGAGTAATTTCTGCTTCACAAACATGCTGAATGAAATGCATGTCTCATTTATCACTTAAATAGTAATAACAGCGTCCGCTGCATGCTGCAGGCTGGATTCTGACATGGGTGGATTGACAGTGTTCACTCAGCGGAAGCAAAAAACAGATCAATAACAAAATGTAGCCTGGGGGGCTGGAGGTGTGACAAGTCAACCATGATTTCAGAGTCTTGCTGGGACCCTTATTAAACTCATTTGTACATTTGAAAACAACAGTTGCCTCGGTGGGTTAAAGGTAACTGTGAGTATTGGTCTGAGGAAGGCTTGAATTCTGTTTGTGTCCCAGAGGAACACAGCTGCTTAAGAGCAGCCTGATGCTCTTTTGGTGGAAGAGCAAGCAGCAAATCTAAAATGTTAAAATACTTAAAAGGCAAGGTTTTGTTTCATTTTGTTTCCTCTGCGTAACGGTTTATTTGCCAGGGATGGTATGGATGAGCACTTTGTGAGGCAGGAAGGAAAATTATGTTTACCTGTCCTCTCCTTCTTCTCCTCCTCTCCACTTACTCCCCACTAAGTGATGGCAAAGAACCACCTGGGTGAAGGAAATAGTTTGTTCCTTCTCGATATTTTGCTGGAGGAAGTGATAATGAGAGAGTGCCTTGCCTTGTTTCCTGCCGAACCCAGGAGCTGCAGGACTGCAGAGGTGTCGGGAGAAAAAAATTTGCTCTCTTAGGGCAGCAGTGACTCAGGTTTCCACTTTCTCCCTTGTTAGGGCTGTGTCTCAGGTGTGCTGCTGGGCAAGTGACCATGCTTAGGCCATGGCTGCTGCCTTTTGCCAAGAGGTGTCCCTAAGGTGACAAGGTGAGTCACAGGTCTTAGAGAATTGCAGAATATCTCAAGTTGGAAGGGACCCATGTAGATCAATGAGTCCATATCCCTGCTCCTCACAGGGCTACCTAAAAGTAAACTATATGGCTAAAAGTGTGGCTCAGATGCTCCTTGAGCTTCGACAGGCTTGTTGCTGAGACCGTTACTTTCGGGAGCCTGTTCTGGTGGCCAAACTCTCAGTGGAGAACCTCTTCCTAATGTTCCATCTAAACTTCCCCAAACAGAGCTTCATTCCATTTCCACATGTCCTGTTGCTGGTCACCAGAGAGAAGACCATATAAATGTTTTGCTCATCTTTCAGGCTAGACAAGGAGGAGTGTCACTCATCTGAAGCTCAGCCAAGGTGACTTGGCTTCTAGGGTTGAACACTGGGTACATATTCTTATTTTCATTAGACCTCATCCCTGTGCAGGCAGAGGGCTGGAGGAAAGGGAATGTGAGGAAAGGCTGAGTGAGTTTGGGTTGTTCAGCCCAAAGGCTGAGTGAGTTTAGATTGTTCAGCCTGGAGAAGAAAAGGCTCCAGGGAGACCTTATTTTGGACCTTATTTCAGTTCTTAAAAGAGGCTTTATGAGAAAGATGGAGAAGAGACTTTAGCGAGGCCTGTTGCAATATGACGAGGGGTTTTATTACACTAAAAGAGGGGATATTCAGGCTGGATGTGAGGAAAAGGTTCTTTACACTGAGGGTGGTAAAACACTGGCATAAGTTGTCCAGAGAGGTGGTGGATGCATCATCCCTGGAGACATCCAAGGCCAGGCTGGACATGGTTCTCAGCAACCTGATCCAGTTGAAGGCATCCCTGCTCATTTCAGGGGGTTTGGACTAGATGAGCTTTTGAAGGTCTCTACCAATATGAACTATGCCATGATTCTAGGAGCAGCTCAGGGAGATGCCGAAGCGCTGGCAGAGGCACTTGTGTGGGCTCATGTTCCTTGAATGAAAGCGTCTCACCCTTCTGGAAATGCTGCTGTAGTGTCTGACACTCAGCATGCTAAAACGAAACATGGGCTGCTCTGAAATGCCTCCCTCGAGCAGGCTGATGGGGAAGGGTGATGACCTCGCTTTCACATGCTGCTTTTTGCAATCACTTTTTTTCTTTCTTTTTTTTCAATGCACAAGAATAACGAGTGACTCTCAGTAAATAATTTACTCGGTATTAGCTCCTTGCTGGATGTCTTTGGAATAGGCTGCTCAGGGAAGTGGTGGAGTCATTATTGCTGGAAGTGTTCACAAACCATGTAGACGAGGCCCTCAGTGGCATGTATTAGTGGTGGCCTTGGCAGTGCTGGGGAACGGTTGGACATGATGATCTTGAAGGGCTTTTCCAACCTGGTTGATTCTATGATTCTAGCAGCATTTCAGTAAGGATCATTATGGGTAGAGTGGAAACTCACAGGGAGTAAGGTCTTTATATATGTCAATTAAGAGATGATTTTGCCTGTTTCTACCCAAGAAAGCACAACTCAGAAGTTGAAACACTCTGGGCAAAGCAGCTCCAACTGCTTATTATTTTTCAAAGTATGGGGTGATAGACATCGATCAGCCAAAAGGAAAGTCAATACAATTTGAATAGTGGGGTATGTATCTCTAAAAGCAGCTGGCAGGGATATGTCTGGGATGTGTGCATTAGCTGAAAGAAGCCTCTGCATTGTGGGAAGCTGCCTCATAATGTGAGATGCTTCCTACACTTACGCAAGAAGGATCCTGCGAGTTCTTGCAGAACAACATGGTTGTTTTCTGCTACCTGGAGCTGCAGAACCTCAATTAGCGGCGTCCCATCTGTAACATCTGTGACTCAAGATGAGCTGGACTGTGCACAGAAACCCATGGTTAGTGACTAAAGGGAAGTGAGAAGGATCTGGCTGTAAATTTTACAAAGTTTATTTTATATTTACTGAGACCACTTCAGAGTGCACACAGATACTGTTACAAAAGGTTACATTTGCAGAAGCACTTAATTCCATAGGGTTTAGGTATTGATTTACGTTTGAGTCGCACAGTGTGAACTTTGAAAACATAGGGGAAAAATTCAACTAGGAGTATGACCTCAAAGATAAATAAATCAAATACAGGATAGCTTGAAGATGACCCAGAAAGGAGCACAACTGCTTTTGGTTTAAGGGAACAAATCTTTTAGAAAATAAAAAAATAAATAGCAGTTAGAAAAAGAGTTTATGGTCAGCAGTACATCACTCTGTGTAAATGTATAAATAGCTTATCCACGCAGCGTTTAACTTGGAGAGATGGAAACTAAAAGGGAGGAAATGATAAGGAGAAACAGGCTTCACCCTAGTGGTGGAGTCATCAAATGTATTCTGGATACAGTGAGGAAATAGCACGAAGTGGCTTACTCCTAGTTTTTAGTGACTGTATAACAGGTTTGAATTGACATACAGAAGAACTCCCAGTGGTTGTTTTGGAACTTCCATGCGATTACAGATAAATAAGAATATATTCAGATCTGTATCTTCATATCTGCATACATAGAAGTAGGATAATTGTATACTATATCCAAAGTCCATCATTATCTCTTACTGATAATCAGTTCCTTAATTCAAAGTATAGTTTAGTGTAGTGTATAGGAAGTCATAAGAGCTGAAAAGAAGAATAAAATGTGCTAAATACATTTTAACTCTTGATCTTACAATGGTGGAACTTAACAGCTGGAATATCTTCACCAAACAAATAAGTCCCATTTTCCTACTCGGGATTAAGGTAGATGGCAAACATGGTGCCATCTACCTTGTGCAATGTACACAGCTGAGAAGGAGCTCTTTTATAGAGAAGTCTTTAGAGTTCTACAGTTACGAAAGTAGTGAGTGCCGCAGCTTTATTACTTACTATTCTGTGTATTTGTATCCCTATCGATTTCTGGTAAGTGAATGTTTTTGACATTACTAGAAATGTAAAATTCTCTCCAAATTTCACAAAGTTGTTCTCCATTTTTCTTAACCCTTCTTTAGCTAAATTGAAGTAATGATTTTTTTTCCTGAGAGAATTTGCACAATGGCATTTGCAGTATCTTATCTTACTTTCCACTTTATAGTGCTATCCTAGTGCTTTCTGTCCTTTTTCATCATACTAAAGGACAGTTACAAATAAGAAAGAATCGTATTCAGTTAGATTTTTAAAAGCAAAGGAAAATCTTATTTTGCTACAGAAATAATCAAAGAGTTGTAGCAATCCAAGAAATGCAATATTCTCAGAACTCTGGACTGTTTCACAGATGAGGTGGGTGCATCTATATCTGTAAATCTTAGCTATCAGAATAGACGGATAGATGAATGGATGAAATTGGGCTATCTATAAATAGATAAATAGGGCTTATCCAGGTGTCACCTGGAAAGACATTAAAAGAGTAATCATCAAATCACTGAGTAATCACAAAGAAATTATCATCTTGCTTCCAGAATAATGCCTTGGTACTATTCGGAAGGCAGTTTATACAGGGAGCAACGAATGCTCATAAAGAACAGTGATGAACTGCATTTACTTATTATTTTCCTTTCCAAAGAATTCAGATTGGTTCATCCTGTTGGACACTGCCTGACTCTGTTACTTTATCACCAGCCTTAATTTCCCAAACCATGTTTCCTGGGTTGCTTCAGCTAGTAAGATATTTTCATCTTGATTATTTGAAGTGATCACAAACCAGTGCAAACATTATATTACAGGAAAATATTTAGTGGAAGAAGAAAATAATTTGCTGTTTAAATTGAATGTCTGCGTATTGAATAATAATCTTCTCTAGTAATTAGCTTTCAAAATGGAGCTAGTAAGATGGATAAAGTAACGAAGAAAAGATAATTTGTTCTGCCAACCTTCATGTGATTTTAATTTCCAGTATGTTATTGGAAGGAATATTTGGTGAGAGGGAATTTCTGAAGAATAATTCAGCAGGGCACGTATAAGACAGAAGAAAGAAATGTTCTCCTTTAAAACTGGCAAATTGTGTGTGGAAGGTTACCTTATTTTTCTTCATCTCTTCAATATAAACCATCTAAATATTTTCTTTCTGTCTTAGTGGAGTGAGAGGTGTTATCATTAAGATTACATGGCAGAGATTATAAATCTCCTCCTTTTACTTTTGCCAAACTTCAGAGTCACAGAGGTGAAATTTCCTGTGCTTAAGGTCTTGTGAAAGCTGTTTCCAGCATTAGTTGGGAATAGGTCAGAAGAATGCCATCAAATGGAGTTGCTTGTGCCCTCATCATCAAATTAATGAAACAGTCCTTGCTTTTGTGTCTGCTTAACATGTACATTTTGACATGAGAAATCATCATGTTTAGCTTGCAGTATACTAAACTGTTAACCCTTACAAAGATATTTTTCTCTTTTTATGGAAAGACTAAGTCAAGAACTACTTAGTGTAAATTAGCACGATTCCAGTTATTTTAATAAGGAAAGCAAACCTACTTCCCTCCCTTAATTATTTATACTGTAATATCCATTATAGCTATGAATATTGTAGAATTAATGATGCTTTTCTCATTTATATACCAGCAAAGGCATGATATACTGCCCAATATACCTAACTTAATTGGTATGGAGTGAATGTTGCTCCCTTTAAACAAAGGTAAACTTCTTGCTGTGTGATTTATTACAATATGTGGTGCAGCTCCTGATTGCATGTAGGACCTCACTGACAAAGCATCATTTAACAAGAAGCCCCACATGTGGTTTACCTCAAAAAAGGGAACTTGTTCTCTGCCCAAATAATTCCAACCTTATGCTTCCAGTCTGCACCGAGCAAAGTACACGGCCAGCTAGAGAGTGAGCAAGCGTGCGTGTGCATGTGTGTGTGCAGGTGAGGAGAAGGGCTGGAAGAGGCAAAAGAGGGTTGCAATTGATTCGAACACAGCTGCTATGGGAAATGAAATTACTTCCTTTTCCTCAACAAACAGAAAGTTAAAGGCAAATTATTCCAAAAAACCACCCCAGTCATAATTATGAAATCTTCTAAACCAAATGCAAGC